CATGAAGGCTATGTTAACCAGTTGGATGAAAGTATTTCAAATTGTATACAGAAACAGTACACTGTACCCCATGATAGTATTGATGTACACTACTATGATTTAATAATAAATAAATAAATAAAAAAGAAGCAAAAGCAAAAAAAAAAAAAAAAAGAAAATAAAGTTGAAATAAATCTACAATACTTTATCTGGAAAAAAGTCCCATAGCCAAGTAATAAAACTGACTGAGCCTGACTGAGGTGCTCCGAGCTGTAATGCCATGCCACTCTACCCAGGGGGACGGCTTGAGGCTCTGTCTCAAACTCAAAAAAAAAAAAAAAAAAAAAGAAAATAAAGTTTTAATAAATCTACAATACTTTATCTGGAAAAAAGTCCCATAGCCAAGTAATAAAACTGACTGAGCCTGACTGAGGTGCTCCTTAACACCTCATGCTTGTTCTGATTGGCTGGTCACAGAGACTTGGCACAGTGCACTTTAGCCACTCACCTTTCCCTCCCTACTGTCTCTACCTACTGACACTTGGCCCCCACAGGGTGAGGGGCAAGCCCAGAGGTGACTTCACCCAACGGATGCTTCTCCCATTGAGCTAGACTGATACCCCAACATGGGCAGAACAGACGTAGATAGAGTGTCCACTCACAAAATGAACAGGAAAGAGAGGGAATGCTCCCTACAGGACAGGATGGTTTCTGTGGGAGAGCTAGTCACCGTACATCACTGGCAGCCCCAACAGCCAGATGAAGGTAACACTGCAACTGGGAAGAGACGCCTGCCATGCTCTGAGCTACAGACAACCCAGTGGGACAGGATCCTGAGTGGAGGGATTTGAGGGCTGACCTCATATGGGGTGGGAGTTGCCCTGTGGAGGAGGGAAGAGACTGACTAGGCAGAACCAGGAACATGGGACATGCCAGAGAGGGAGACTATAGAATTAAAACTCTTCAAACAGAAGATGTAAGACTCTGGTGTCAAAAGGTCATGCAGGGAGGTCCGATACAAGACATGTAGTTGAGATTGGGGATTAACAGATTAAAAACAAACAAGCTCGGTGCTTACAGCTCAGTGGCTAGGGTCCCAGACACATACACTGGAGTTGGCAGGTTCAAATTTAGCCCAGGCCTACCAAATGACGACAAATACAACAAAAAAATAGCTGGACGTTGTGGCAGGCACCTGTAGTCCCAGCTACTCGGGAGGCTGAGGCAAGAGAATCACTTAAGCTAAGAGTTTGAGATTGCTGTGAGCCGTGATGCCATGGCACTCTGCCCAGGGCAACAGCTTGAGACTCTGTCTCAAAAACAAACAAACAAATATTATCTGTGAAATCAAAAAACAGAAAAAGCTTTTTTTTTTTTTTTAAATTATTTTACTTTTTCAGAGACAAGGTCTTGCCCAGGCTGAAGTGCAGTGGCTACTCATGGGCACAGTCACATTGCAGCCTCCAACTCTCGGTCCTCTTACCTCAATATCCTGAGCAGCTAGGAATGCAGATACGCAGTAGCCCCAGGCTGGAGTACATCACCGCTTACTGCAACCTACAACTCTTGGGCTCGAGCCATCCTCCCACTACTGCCTCCTGAGTAACTGGGACTACAGACCCATCACAGTCAGCTAATTTCTTCTATTTTTAGCAGAGACAGCGTCTCACTCTTGCTCAAGCTGATGTTGAACTCCTAAGCTCAAGTGCTCCTTCTGCCTTGGCCTCCCAAAGTGCTAGGATTAGAGGTGTGAGCTACCATGTATGGCATAATTTAGGGAAAAGGTACTGTTCCACATGAAGACATGAAGCATGACCTACCAGGCCATGTGCTGTGTCTTCCCTGGGAGTCCTGGGGGCCGTACCTGGATGTGGGCCATCTCACCCTGCAGCCTGACTCGGGCCTCCTGTGCTAGGGCAAGCTGCTGCTGGTACCACTGCCGGACATTCTGCAGGGATGAGATTTCTGCCTGTGAAGCCTTCAGCTTGCTGGTCAGTGTTGCACGTTCCAGTTGCACCTGCTGCAGCTGGCTTTGCAAGGCTGTCATCTGTTGTCGAAGATCATGCACTATAAGTGAGAAAAGCCAGCTAATACTAATGGCCACAAGCAGGAGAGCCCACAGTTCTGCATAGACGCTTGTCACAAAGGGGTCTCTCTGCAGAGTGCAAGAAACACAATTGATTCTGGTTATTCTCAGTTTACATTTTAGAAAGTCACCGTCACCATGCATCTGCAGATACAGAGCCACTGCTCCTGGGGAAACATAAATGTCAGGTCCTCTGAGCCTCTGGTCACAAGATGTTCATCAACTGACCAGTATGTAACCTCTGTTTGTGTATGCTTCTATTTAAAGATAACTTGTGAAGACAAAATGTGGACTCACTCACGTTGAACTCACAGCCAAAAGGCCTGAACAAAGCTTCTCTGAGAAATGTATCTTTTCTATAAAACACAGCATAGCCTCCTTGTGCTTAACAATACCAGCTGGTAGTTGGGGACATTTTAAATAGCAAAACCACCCTAAAAAAGCACAGAAATACAAATATGGCACTGAGTAGACCAGGAAAAGAACACTTGTTCCCAGTCTGAGCTGAGGCAAGGCAAAGTGTAGCCTCATTCCACCCTAGTGAGGAATTTGCTCACTCTGTGAGTGGGCAGCGCCTGTGGCTCAGTGGGTAGGATGCTGGCCCCATATACCAGGTGGCAGGTTGAAACCTGGCCCCAGCCAAATTGCAAAAAAAAATAGCCAGGCGTTGTGGCAGGTGCCTATAGTCCCAGCTCCTCGGGAGGCAAGAGAATCACCAGAAGTTGAAAGTTGCTGTGAGCTGTGACACTACAGCACTCTACTGAGGGCGATAAAGTGAGACTCCCTCTAAAAAAAAGAATAAATAAAGCTCTATGAGTACTGATTGGGGGGTTCAAAGAAATTTAAGTAGGCAAATTCACAGTTGCAGAATCTGTGATACTGAACATCAACTGTGTGTCCACAAATTGTGGAGGACTCTGAGGCTCTTATCTTTGAATGGCCTGATGTTCACCAGCCATCAACAAACAACAGTGATGTCAGTGTACCCATCCCTTGTCAGGTGTGAGCCAGGACTGAGTGGCCCTGCCTGAAGTCTAGCTGGTTCTGCTACTCAGTGAACACTGGTCAGATGGAACCTTGCAATTCAGAGTCACAAACTTATTTTGGTGTTTCATACTTTCTAGATGTTATAGTTTCTCCTTGGGGACTGGGTATCATAAAGTGCTCAAAGACTGAAAAATAACAGCAATTTGAAAAAGGGCTCCTGTTTAGTTTCCTGGTTGGGTCTCTTTCAGCATTAAGACATAGCCTCTGTGACAATGGCTTTTTACCTACCTCTGTGCCATTAGATCTGAGACCAGGCTCACATCATCTAGGCCCTCATGTCAGGCTAACACAGGTCCTCCTATTGCTCTGACCCTGGCCCTGAGAAGAGCCTCATCCAAGCAGTGAGTGCATGAGTCCCAGTATACCCCTTAGGCTATAATTTGCAGTCTCCCCACCACCCCTCACCCTCTTCTTCCTGCCCCCTGCTCACACCACCACATCTGAGCTTGGAGACCAGAATTTTCTCAGTGTCCAGTGGGCTCAGAGCATCAATTCTGAGACTGGCTCGGGGAGTGGGGGCCGGGGGGGCTGGGCACAGGAGTACCCAAGAGCACATGGTTAGCACAAAGAAAGCCACAGACATACTGCTGAGCCATAGGACCACCACAGCTCCCTACAACTCCATGACTCTTTCTCTTGACGTTCCCAGGTCAGTCCCATTAAGAGAAAGTTAACTAGAATGCTGAACACAGCTCTGCCAACTAGCAAACCTAAGTGTTGTTTTTAAATATATTAAATAGAACCTACAATTCTATGGAATCAGTAAGTAGCTCTGCATCCCAAGACTGGATTTTTAAGGCAGAATGAACAGAAACAATTAACTACTATTGTTAGGGTCTAAAGTCAATTTCTAAGATCTAACTCATTTCCCCGGATACCCCTGCAAAAATGTGCAGAATTCCACAAGGTCAAACAAAAAGTATATTTCCTTTAGAAAAGTAGACATCTTGTGTGTAAATTACAAACTAATAAAACCCCACAGCCACATGGACATGGTAACAGACTGCCCCCAGCTCCACCTGTAGGGCAGCCATGTGAGGACATGAGCAGAGTACAGATGGCTGGGCTCTCACCTGTGTTGTCCTTACTGAGGATGCTCTTTTGCATGTCTTCTACTTTTGCCACAAGCCTCTGGTACTGTTCCTCTGCCACCTTCAGGTCACTATTGGAGGATGCCAGGCTGGCATTTTTGGCTTCCAGCATATTCTGCAGGTCAGTCATTGCCTGCTCCAGATCCCAGCAGGACTGCTTCAAGGTGTCCACCTCCAGGCTGAGGGAATCCTGCCGCTGCTGGCTGGTCTGGCTGTGCTCCACCTGTACCTGCAGCCTGGTGCTAAGGGCCGCCAGCTGTGCCTGCAGCTCTGCCTTTTCCTTAAGTGCCTGAAAAGACCCCAAACCACCACCCCAACTTTCAGGAAGAGAAGCCAATTCTGGCCAGTATTCACTGAGAGAGAACGACGTCTGACAGCAACTTCACACACGTTGCCACACCAGCTATACCCCAACAAGAAGGTGATTTTCCAGACAGGCCCCAGAGGCAGGAAAGGCAGGAAAGGCACCTGTAGTGCCTGCACTAGCTTTAGGGCCAGCTGTGCTCTGCAGGGAAGCGCCATGCAGGGCTGTGAAGGCACCACCCTGCTGCCAGATGTGGGAAAATACCTTTTTCAAAAATCAAAAAAGTTCACATGGACTCATGCACACACAAACAAAGCAAGAATACCAGGCATGTTGAGGGACCCTAAGATAAAAAGCTATCAGATTAAGATTAGAGGGGGATGGGAATGGGCAAAAAATGACCCCTGGGACAAGCAGCTGCTACATGAGAGGATCTGAGGGGCTCTAGCCAGGGCCACTGGATGCAGGAACGGTCCTGAGTAACCACAACAGTGTCATCCACAGGATGAAGCAGGAAAAGAGAGGAAAGGCCATAGGAGCAGCAGAGATGCCACAAGATGTGAGTGAGGAATAACATGCTACTCACCAGCAGCACACCTGCATTCTAAGCATGCATGGGAACCCCAAATTCACACACCAAGATGAACAGCAAATCCAACAAACAGAAGAGCAAACGCTCAGTTAACGCCAAGTTAACTGAACAAATTTAATGAGATTTTAGACTAAGTACAACTAGCACCTGCACAGATATGCCAGGGAGCACTGCACCCATGCAGTCCATACAGGCCTTGGTTTGGATGCACCAAAGCATACATCAGTGATTCAGGAGGATGAGAAGAGAAAAGTAAAGTAAGAGCAAGCTCTCAGATTGTCCAAGGGACTGAATATATAGAGGAAGTGGAAATGTATTTGATGAGAGGGCTATATTCTAAAGTAGAACTCTTACTAAAGTAAAAATTGTATATACCAAAATTAGCCTTGATGTCTCTGAAATCACCTCTTTAGTAGACACAGTTTTATGTGCCACACAGTGGTTGGTTTGTGTCCAAGGACCATGTTGCACACAGAACCATCTTAAACATGAAATGTCCATCTAGTAAATCCAGCTCCTCTCACCATGGGCATGCTCCCCTCCTGCCCTGCACACACTCTCTAAAAGGATACCCTCTCCTCAGTCAGATCTCTGTGCCATCTGTGTGTTCTCACTTTCTCTCATGCCAACAGCAGAAAGCTGAATTCCATTGGACTGATTTACATTAATCACTGACAGAAAGATAAAAATCTAGTTCTTCACTATCGATAAAAATACATTCAACAAAATGACAAAAGAAAGCTAAAAATTAAGAGATGAAAAATTATTTTTCTGGCAAGTGCTAACCAGGTACAGCAAAATTAATATTAGAAAAAGCAGAACCCATTGCAAAACATATTGAAGAGGTAAAGACGAAAAGTTTACCATGTCAGAAAAAGGTATAGTCCACCAAGAAAATTATTCTGGACTGTAAAATATCTAACATCCAGGAAATATTCTGGGCAAATCTTGATGATGGAGCAGAAAGAGTAGAAAACTAATACACCTCCTTCAGAGGTTAATAGACCAAATAGACAAAAAAATATGAAAGATGTGGCTGATGTAGCTTACTTTTAAAGACCTTCGTAAAACTTTCTACCCCAAAAAGAGGAATCACACATTCTTTTCAACTGCATGGCACAATAAAACATTAATCAAATATCTATTACCTGACTAGCCTCTAATGATAAAGCTTCCAGTTGTCCTTCGAGTCTCATTTTTTCTTTGAGAACCTGCAACATTTCATCCTGAGTCTCAGCAGCAGAGCCTTCCACAGAAACACTGGAGGACAAAACACAGGACCAGGGACACGTGACCAATGTTGACTGCATGACTTTCTCCATACTCTCCAGTTTCAAACACCCTTGCTACTCCCTCCCATGTTTTTAAAAGTTAAGTAAAAAGATTTATGTAGAGGGCAGCGCCTATGGCTCAGTGAGTAGGGCAACGGCCCCATATACCAAGGGTGGCAGGTTCAAACGGCAACAAAAAAATAGCCGGGCGTTGTGGTGGGTGCCTGTGGTCCCAGCTACTTGGGAGGCTGAGGCAAGAGAATCACCTAAGCCCAGGATTTGGAGGTGGTTGTGAGCTGTGATGCCACAGCACTCTACCAAGGGTGATAAAGTGAGACTGTCTCTAAAAAAAAAAGATTTATGTAGAAAGCTAAAGTATGTATATACACTACCAATAAACACTCCTGCCAACAGTCAGGCATTTCCACACACCTGGAACAACACCTTTTGGAAACGTGAGCCCATGTAAGTAACCAGGCAGTCTGAAAGACCCATCTATATAAACATTAAAGACAAGATGCTAATACTGTAGACCACTGCTGATTAGATCTAATTCTATTTCTTAAAAAGCAACACAATTTAGGCCAGGTGAGGTGGCTCATACCTGTAATCCTAGCACTCCAGGAGGCCGAGGCGAGTGGATTGCCTGAGCCCACAGGTTTGAGACCAGCCTGACCAAGAGCAAGACTTCATCTCTAAAAATAGCCCGGCACTGGGGCAGGCACCTGTAGTCCCAGCTATTTGAGAGACTGAGGAAAGAGAATCACTTGAACTCAAGAGTTTGAGGCTGCTATGAGCTGTGATGCCACAGCATTCTACTGAGGGTGACAAAGTGAGACTCTGTTTCAAAAAAACATAAAAAAGCAGGCTCAGCACCTGTGGCTCAGTGAGAATGGCGCCAGCCACATACACCAAAGCTGGTGGGTTCGAGCCCAGGCTGGGCCTGCCAAACAGCAATGATAACTGCAACCAAAATACAGCCAGGTGTTGTGGCTCAGCTCAGTCTCAGCTGCTTGACAGGCTGAGACAGAATTGCTTGAGCCCAAGAGTTTGAGGTTTCTGTGAGCTGTGACACCACAGCACTCTACTGAGGGGGACATAATGAGACTGTCTCAAAAAAAAAAAAAGGCAGTGCCTGTGGTTCAGTGGGTAGGGCGCCGGCCCCATCTACTGAGGGTAGCAGGTTCAAACCGGGCCTGGGCGAAACTGCAACAACAACAACAAAATAGCTAGGCGTTGTGGCGGGCACCTGTAGTCCCAGCTACTTGGGAGGCTGAGGCAAGAGAATCACCTGAGCCCAGGAGTCAGAGGAGGAGTTGGAGGTTGCCTTGAGCTGTGTGATGCCATGGCATTCTACCAAGGGCAACAGAGTAAGACTCTGTCTCTTTAAAAAAAAAAAAAAAAAGGAACACAGTTGTGTATGAATGAAATATTAATGTCAAGGCTACAGATAAAATCAGGAAAGCAAAATAGTGTATCAACTACTCTAGTGATGGAAGCCATGATTCACAGAAGCTGTGTCTGAGACCATATCACCCCACCCACCCCTGCATCTGACCCACCTGCTACAGATGCTGTTTCTTCGACTCTGCACATCCCCATTGATTTCCCTCTTTTGGTCTTGGTGCTCAGCTGCTGCAGCCTGGAGGACATCCTTAATCGAGGGGAACTGGCCCAAAGCATCCAAGGCAATCTCCTGGCCATTTACCACAAATGAAGTTTCCTGTGTGCCCACTGTGTTCACCAGAACACCGTATGTCCCACGGGTAGAGATACTGCTGTGTGATGAACTGTCACTCTCATTTCCATCAGCCTCGGACACGCTGTCTCCAGTTAGTGAAGCATTCTCCAGACGGTCATCAGTCTCAGGAGACAGGCTGATTTCAGACACAACTGACGCACTGCTTCTACTCTGCTTCAGGGAACCCATGGGAGAGTCGGTAGCTGAAACATTTCTACCAGAACTCCCAGCATCTGAGCCTTCAGTTCTGTAATCAGCCAGAGATCGAATTTTGCTTGATTTTGAACTTTTTTTCTCCTTGGGATGTGCCAAGAGCCCTAAGCTGCCCACCTTAGGCCCCCGAGGGACACTGGTGCGCAGAAAGGAATATTCTTTTGTCATAGCCACAGTACTGGCCCTTGGTAAGTGTTCTGGGTTTAGCATGAGTTCAGGATCAAGTGTGCTAAAAAGTCTTGTTTTTGCTGAAGGTTGACTGGACTGAGAAGGAAAAAAAAGCATAAAAATTATGTTTAAAACGGACAAGCAGAATTCTGCATTCAGAAAGGTTGTACCAATTTTTTTTGTAGAGACAGAGTCTCAACTCTATCACCCTCAGTAGAGTGCTGTGGCGTCACACAGCTCACAGCAACTTCCAACTCCTGGGCTTAGGCAATTCTCTTGCCTAAGCCTCCCGAGCAGCTGGGACTACAGGTGCCCGCCACAACACCCGGCTATTTTTTTTGTTATAGTTTTGGTGAGGGCCAGGTTTCAACTCGCCACCCTTGGTACATGGGTCCGGCGCCCTACCCACTGAGCCATAGGGACTGCTCAAGTTGTACCATTTAATACCCCCTCTACTGATAACCAGAAAGCATCCAGCTCCAGGCCCTTGCCACACAGGGTATAGCCCAGCCTCCCCGTTAGGCTTCATTGCTTCAGGGTCACACTATACTGGCTAGTCAGACTATTCCTAGACTTAAACCACCCTCTTTAATGAATGTAACTGTGAAACACTTCAAAACACATATTAGAGCATCATATGTTGTCATCATACTCCACCAACAAGATATCTCCAGCTATTTTCCAGTTTATTCTTTCAGATAAACATTTAAATTTTTTTTTCTTTAAGGCCGGGCATGGTGGCTCATGCCTGTAATCCTAGCACTTTGGGAGGCCAAGGTGGGTGGATTGCCTGAACTTAGGACTTTGAGACAAGCCTGAGCAAAAGTGAAACCTCATCTCTACTAAAAATAAAAACTGGCTATTGTGGTGGGTGCCTATAGTTCCAGCTACTTGGGAGGCTGAGGCAAGGGGATGAATTGAGACCAAGAGTTTGAGCTTGCTGTGAGCTAGGATGCCACAGCACTCTACCCAGGGCACAGAATGAAACTCTGTCTCAAAAATAATTTTTTTTTTTCTTTAGCTAGGTGTTGTGACAGGCACCTGTCATCCCAGCTAGTTGGGAGGCTGAGGCAAGAGGATTCCTTGAGCCCAAGAGTTTGAGGTTGTTATGAGCTATGAAGCCATGGCACTCTACTCAGAGCAACAGAGTGAGACTCTGTCTCAAATATAAACAAGTAAATAACTAACTTTTTTTCTTCTACTTAAGAAAAAGTCTTGTTGAATTAGAACTACCTTAAATTTATGGGCTGTTTCCCTTCAATTATTATATGCTCACATGTTTCTCAACAAATAAGTGACGTCAGATTCTTTATATAGATTCTCAGACCTTTTCATTGCCATTTAAATTTACTTCTTGGACATTTTATGATTGTTGTTACTTAAAATGCCATCTTTTCCCATTTTTATAACTGATCATGTTAGAATAATTATTAATTTTCCATACTTTTTTTTTTTTTTGAGACAGAACCCCAAGCTGTCACCCTGGGTAGAATGCTGTAGCATCCACAGCTCACAACAACCTCCAACTCCTGGGCTCAAGCCTCCCAAGTAGCTGGGACTACAGGAGCCTGCTATAACGCCTGGCTATTTTTTGTTTGCAACTGTCATTGTTTGGCAGGCTCGGGCTGGATTTGAACCTGCCAGCTCAAGTGTATGTGGCTGGTGCCTTAGCCACTTGAGCCACAGGCACTGAACCCATACTTATAATTTTTAACTGACAATTTTCTAAACTCTAATTATATTTAATAATTTTTGTCAGTGGATTCTAAAGTCTTCCAAGGTGTTACCAACACCTGCAAATCTTTCTTCTCCTTTTCAATGTTCACCTCACTTATTTTCTTTATATTACCTAGTCAACTAGGTATCTCAACATGACTTGCTTTTAGAGAACCATTCAGTCCTACATTATTCTACAAAATCAACCCAATCCCATCAGACAGGGGTGCAGGGAGGAAGACGAGAAGCCTCACAAAATGACACTGGACGCACCCAAAACAACAAATGAGCCAGAACAGCTTGCTAAAAAAGAGCAATAAGGGATAATCCCAGGCAAGACAGGGGACCTGGCTCAGGGAAGTGCTGGGTCAAAAAAGTGAAGGTGGGACTAAGGGAGGAGCTGGGCCAGGCAAGTAAATGCGGGACCAAGTGAGTAAGGGCAGAGCTCAGGGCCAGGTGAGTAAGGGTCGGGCTCTGGAGAGTGAGGCCAGGAGAATAAAGGAGAGGCTCAGGGAGGGTGAGGCCAGGTTAAGTGAGGAAGGGCCAGGCAAATGACGGGTGGGGCCACAGGCCACCAATGAGGCCACAGTTATCTCTTGCTCCCGATGCTGTGAATCTAGGATAACTAGATCCATTCAGACCTACTACAGGAGGCTGCCTGATGAAACAGAACGAATGCAGTCCAGAAATCAGCCAAGGCCCAGTGGAATATGTAATTAGTTAAGAAGTATCATGATAAAGTAGTTTTATATCCAGTAGGGAAAATTAGATCACAGAATAAGCAATTCGAGATGGTTCACCATCTATCCAAAGAGACCCAATTCCCACCTCTCTCTTTAAAATATTCCAGATGAAAGTGCATGGTACTGATAAAATATTCCAGATGATAGGGGCGGCGCCCGTGGCTCAGTGGGTAGGGCTCCGGCCCCATGTACCGAAGGTGACAGGTTCAAACCCGCAAACTCCACCCCAGCTGAACTACAACAAAAAATAGCCCAGCGTTGTGGCCAGAGCCTATAGTCCCAGCTACTCAGGAGCTGAGGCAAGAGAATCACATGAGACCAGGAATTGGAGGTTGCTGTGAGCTGTGACGACAGGGCATTCTACCAAGGGCAATAAAGTGAGACTCTTGTCTCTACAAAAATAAATAAATAAATAAATAAAATATTCCAGACGATAGGTTAAATTTTTGTTTTTTCTTTTTTCTTTTCATTTCAAGAAATGAAATATGACAAACTCTGAAAGAACTGTAAAGATTAAAATTTTTGACTGTAAATATTTAAAACTGGGCGGCACCTGTCACTCAGTACATGGGGTGCCAGTCCCGTATACTGAGTGTGGAGGGTTTAAACCCAGCCCCAGTCAAAGTGCAACAAAAAATAGCTCAGCGTTGTGGCAGGTGCCTATAGTCCTGGTTACGGGAGGCTGAGGCAAGAGAATCACCTAAGCCCAGGGGTTGGAGGTTGCTGTGAGCTATGATGCCACAGCACTCTACCAAGGGCGACAAACTGA